CCCCCCCCCCCCCCCATGCATGCGTATGCAAAATCTGAGACCAGTTGATTGGCGTATGTAAAAGTTATGCACGTTTTACTTTCAAAAACAGCATCTCAGGAAATAATTTGGAGGGGGGGGGGGCTGATAGACAGCGAAATATGATGGCCGTCTGGCACACCTTCAAGCTATAGGCTACCTACTGCAATTCAGAACTCTAGGACCATTCCCCTAGAAGTAGCTCAAAACAGTAGAAGTGGGTCCGGACGGACGGACAAAACGCAAACAATAGCACTTTTTTTTAATTCTTAAAAATGCGCTAAAAAAACAATGGCAAAAAATGGTTCGTTTGGGATCTTCCCCTTAAACTTTTTTTTCAGCGACGATAAGGGACAGAAAAATAAAACTAAGGGTGTTACGGGGTTATTTTGAAAAAAATGCTTGTTTTGGTCTTTTCGATTCTACCAGATAATTTTTGTTGAATGATATACGTTACATACACCCTGTATAACTCTGTTTTTCGCGCATTTTTTAAGAACTACAAAAATGCACGAAAAACAGACTGCATTTTTAGCGCATTATTTAAGAATTAAAAAAAAGGTGCTATTGTTTTGCCATTTTGAACTACTTCTAGGGGAATGGTCTTAGAGTCATGGAATTTTTTTGCAGTAGGTAGCCTATACTTTGAAGGTGTGCCAGACGGCCATCAAATTTCGCTGTCTAAAAGGCCCCCCCCCCCGAATTATTTTCTGAGATGGTGTTTTTGAAAGTAAAACGTGCATACGACAACCAATTGGTCGCAGATTTTGCATACGCATGCCTTTAGTGGTGCCAAGTTAAACTTTAGAAAATTCGGGGGGGGGGGGGAAACACATTTTCTACCCTTCATGGTATTCAAATGAAAGGTCTCATCGAAATAAATTGGTTTGTACAAACTATAACTTTCCCGCGCGACTCTTTTTCGAGATCAGTGTGCGACGGGGTCTGAGGGGGGGGGGGGTTAAAAATTAATTTTATCTCTGATTGTATTAAAGGTCTCAACGAAAGGATCCGTTTTCTACAAACCACCGCCTTTCTTTCTGTCTTCTTATCAAAGTACGGGGTGGAGGAGCAAGGGAGAGGGGAGTGGAACTAGTTTTATTCTTCATGGTACTCTAATGAAAGGTTTCAACGAAAGAAATGAATTTCTACCAATCATAACCCTCCTCCTCGACCTCTTATCGTGATCGGGTATATTCCCTTTTACCTCCAGAACGGATTGTCGGAAGAGGGTACTCACAAAGGGCGATTGAGACATCTGCAAGGAATATATCCATTGGTGATTTCAAAACAAAAGCAATTTCGGTTTAAAAAATTGCGCGTTATCTGCACAAGAGTTGTGCACAATTTATACTTGTTTATTAACGCACACTTTTCAAAATGTTATACGGGGGAAGGGGGGGGGGCTTTAATCACCGCACCGTTTAAAAACCATAAGCGTGGAGACTTATACATTATATATATATATATGATTCTTAGGTTGTTTTTAAGGACTAGATGCTTTTAGGAAATTCTTAAGACTCAAAGATTAATAACTGCTAAATGTGTAATCTTTAAGACTCTTCTAGAGGGTTTTTTGGAAGCGTTTGAAGAGTTTGTGAGTGTTAAATCCTTTGAAAGACTTTTGAAACATTCAAGGACTCTTCAAGACAATTTTCTTATAGCATAGTATGGATACTTGAGCGAATTAAAGGCTCTCAAAGCCTCTAGAATGGAGGACTTTTGAAATCCTTTAGAGACATCTTCCATTTTCCTTCGTAATGCACCATATACAGGGTGTGTCCAAAGAAAGGTATTTTTGTGTGCACATCAGGGTAACCAGACTAGCAAATTAAACGGATGCAAAATCCAGTAGGCGTAAATCCCAAAGATTTCCGTTTCCAAAAGCCCCCGCAGAGGAAGAGGGGAAGGAACGGTTTTCGAAGTTTTCGTTCTCTGCAAAATTTCACGTTTCGACATTCGTTGAAAATGCATTAACCTTCCGCTTGATCGGCAACTTCGCAATAATAAGCCTAAAACATGAAGCAATCACAATTGCGTCTCTAAGCAATAGCGCAATTTTATGCAACTCCACTCCCGTCGACGAAATCGGCGAACTTGCATTATTTTCCGCCGCCTCGTTTAATTAAAAAAAACCAAACGAAAAAGAATTTTCCGCTTTTCTAACAATGGATTGTTAGGCGAGGTAGATTAAGTATAAGGAAAACTCGGCAATAATTTTTATTCGTTATACCACCGGCAATTCCTTCAGATAACGTAATCCCGAGGGAGCCGCCGCCGTTTTACGATCCCCCTTGCATTTTATCGATCGGGTGGTAGTGGACGCGCTGTCGTTTCCGCCCGCCGCACCACCGACCGACGTCCCGAAATAGCTGCATTCTTCCGATGCTTAAATTCGCCGCACGCGTTATCGCGGTTTTTTATTTTCTCCTTGTTTCCGCGTGGAATATTAAAAAAAAGGCTTAAGGGCTTTCAAACGGAAACTGTCTGAAGGGATTTACTGCTTGCGTGATCGAGGAAAACGTGTCCAGTTTTTCGTATGAGATGAGATTCCAAAAAGTTGTTTAAAATACAGGGAGCAGGATAACAAAGCGGAAAATGTCATTGCTGGAAAGAATAGAACCTTTTCTTCTTAGTCCTTTCCAAGAGTCTTCAATTGTCTCTACATCCTTCTAATAGTCTTTAAGGACCTCCATCAAGCATTTGAGTTCTTTCAAACGACGTTTAAAGATCGCTATATTCGCTCAAGCGTCTCTTAAAATAAGAGCTAAGGTTTTTCGTCTTTAAAAATCTTTGCGAGTCTCCACGGACCTCTAAAGATTTTCAAAAGTCTCCACGAACCTTCTAGAGGCTTTGAGGACTGAAATTTGCAAAAATTAGGAATTCCAG